GCGTGTCTGCTTCTGCAGCACACAGGAAAACCCTACAGACCTCGCTCGAGCTCTGCAGCAGGCACTCAAGCCCACACCCCAGCGGTTAGAGACTAGAGAAAAATTGTTATTGGTGGGAATAATACAGCCTGTGTCTGCAGTACAATTCTGTAAAAGACTGAGTAAGCATTAAAAAACCCTGCTAAAGGCAATACTGAGTCGCTTAGCAGGCCCAGGCAGCTGACTAATGTCCCTGAATATGGACCTCAACAGCTCTATAATGTATGGTGCACATTATAGTGTTGGACAGAAAAATAAAACAGCTCTGTTAAAGCTTATATACAGCATCTTCATTTCACGCAGATGTTCCTTATTTCAGGAGGAAGACATCTACAAGCCTTGATAAGATAGTAGGATCTTCCTGTGATATCACTGACACTTGCTGGTGTTCCCCATATTCTCTGATGACATAGATATTATGCAAAGACTTCAGGAGTGTAAAAATAACAAGGGATCATTTTAAATGCGCACAGATATCAAATATAAATGCTTTACAAGAATAACAACTCAAATATCTGCTTTACCCAGTGAAATATAATTTAAATACCCTTTAGTCAATGTTTTAACCCATGGAAAGTATTATTTTCATTCAGAACTACGAATATATTATCAGTATATATTTGTCAACTCGATAAATAGTATTGCAAATACCAGGATCTATATTCCAATAGCTACACATTAACATAGCCTAAAACTAAATAATTCCAGTTAGTGAGAATGGTTTTTAAGCCTTTTTTCTGTGCGATCCAATTAGAACAGTACCAAACAGTACTCAGTGGTTTTTACCAACTGAACAAATTAAGTACTCATCCTGACACCAAAGATCAGAGCTAAAAAGTAATAAAAAGATCAGGAACCCGAAGTAGCATGACTGTTGGTTTGTAAAATCACGAGACTGTTCTCCTTCAACATGGTATTGAGGGCTGAGAGACGTCATTCCATTAAACATCCTTAGTCTGAATTTAAACCATAAACCAGGCTTCTACTGTAGACACTTCCAGAGATATTCCAAACCGTTTGAGGGGACATTAAATGAGGCAGAAATTGACTTTCCAGAGGTGATAAAGTGTTACAATACCCAAAAAAACCTATGGAAGTCCATTGCTGCCATCAAGGACAAAATCCTGATTTATCTCATTATCATGAGAAAGAGAATTATTTAGGAATTACAACCTAGCACATTCTTGTGTACTTGATGTGATCATCATGTGATCGCACAGCTGTCTCGCAACACATTATCGCAATCTGACTTTCAATTTGAGTCGATGACATGGCACTCTTGTTCTAGATTATCTGTGTGAGTGTCCCCGTGGTTAAAACTGCCTTCACGTGAGGTACAGACTGTCACATTTCAGCAGCTCCCAGCTGACAGCCCACTGACGCTCAGCAGGTGTGAGCCTGGCCAGTACCTGGGTGGGAGACCTCCTGGGAAAGCTGAGGCTGCTGCTGGGAGAGCTGTTAGTGGGACCAGTAGGAGGCGCTCACCCTGTGGTCTGTGTGGGTCCTAATACCCCAGTATAGTGGGAAAGCTGTGTTGTAAAGATGCCGCCGTCCTCTGGATGAGATGTTAAACTGAGGTCCTGACTCTCTGTGGTCATTACAAATCCCAGGACGTTTCTCGAAAAGAGTAGGGAGTAATTTCCCCCTGGCCTTTACC